TCTCAACCTGTGGGTCCGGACCCCATTTGGGGTCGATCGACCATTTCACGGGGGTCGCCAAGCAAGGCTGTCCGCCATTTTGTTTCCCCTTTTCCGGCGGGTGCCTTACCTCCCTTGGGCTGGGCCAGCTGGTGGTCGGCCTGCTCCGTCTCTGCCGCTTGCCAGCTACACCTCGGCTGGCGCAGGGGGCGGAACCACGCATGCACGGCACTCCCGGGCAGGGAAAGTCCTCGACTTACGACCGGTTGGGGTCACAGCATTAAAAAGGTTGAGAATCACTGTGCTAGGCAAAGGGTAGATCACAAAGTTGAATTTCTGGAACACTGGTGCCATCTAGTGGTGGATATAAAGATCGCACCTATTTTTTTGCACCCTGCAAAAATGAACGTTTTGGCCCTACTGTACAGGTTCTTGCTCTCTCTGCTGTATCATGTTATGTGGACATTCTCACATGCTGAAAGAGAGACTCTGCTCCCATCTTTGTTTCTTAGAGAAGGGCTGCAAAAAGGACTACTTTAGACTCTCCTTTTCCTATCACTTGGGGTAAGGCTAAAAGTCAGATAACACCGGAAAGGTGGGACCCAACTTTTCTCTTCCTCCTAGCCTTTTCTATTATTATTATTATTATTATTATTATTATTATTATTATTATTATTATTATTATTATTATTATTATTATGCATTTTTTTCACAGCTTTCAATTTCTGAAAATCATTTCCTTAACTGGCAAAGGGACCGTCCGCTCATCCATCACTGCTCTATCTTGTTCCAACTCATTTTGCATGTCCAGATAAATATATTTGGGCATTAAAAAAAATGGAAGCAGGAGGGAATATTTCATACTATGGACTTAACCTCAACAGCATAAACCAATTTCATTAGCTTTTATAGGAACCATTTTTGCAATGTTCCCTTACAGATACCTGACCCCAAATCAGCTAATGCATAAAACACGCAGATTGTGACACAGAGCTTCAACTAGGGCAGAGGGAGGCAACCTTGGCTTTTATGACTCATGGATTTCAACTCCCAGAATTCCTGAGCTCAAGAATTCTGGGAGTTGAAATCCACGAGTCATAAAAGCCAAGGTTGCCAACCCCAAACTAGGGGCTCTGAAAAAAAGTGACTTATGACTGTTTTTAATGATCATGATCACATGATCAAAATTGGCATGGATTTGACATTCCTGCAGTGTCCCAGGATAACCTTTCAACCTTCTACCAAGCGAAGTCAATGGTGAAGCATATTCACTTAACTCATGACTAATTCAACTGCAGCGATCCACTTAACTGTGGCAGGAAAGGTCATAAAATGGGCCAAAGTTTATTTTAACAATTGTCTTGCTTAGCTTAGCAACAGAAATTTTGGCCTCAATTGTATTTGTATGTCCAGTACTACCTGTACCTCCACCTCCACAATGCCAGCCGTTGTGGACGAAGGAACAGCATTGGGAAATTTATTCTTTTTCAAGCACCTTGTTTCAATAGTGGGGATCAAATGGCCAGTGATCACCTATCTCTGTTGTTTCAATGTGTTTGAGAAAAAGGATTTTATTTCAGTTAACTGACCCTGTAGTCAATCACAAGGTGAAGTGGTTCAAACATGTAGAAAGCAATAAGGAAAAAAGGCACACACACACACCCAAGTAGGTACATGTAGAGAACCACTGAGCTGAGCTTTAGGCCATTAGCAAAACATGAAGCCCAGGGAGTCACATAACATGAGAAACGAAGCTAAAGTGTGGCTAAACAAAAGGTGATTGTGGTTTGAGGTTATTTTTTAATTTTCTCTGGGATATTTTGCTGGTGTCGCCTCAATTAAACTTTTCCTATAATTCAGGTCCAAAGGTAAGAGTGGTTGAAAATACGAGACGTGGGCTTCTAGTCGAACAGCTACATAGCATTTACAAAAATTACAGGGCAGACAAGCAGGAGACTTTGATCCAAATTAGCTCTCTGAACTAGGAAATCTTACAAAGGAGCTCTTTAAATGACCGCCCGGCTTCTTATAAATTAATTCTGTGCGACCAAAATGAGACTGGGCACGCGCGTTAAGCGTTTTTAGCTGGCACTTGTCACCAAGGCCTACGAAAAGAAACCGTCTCCTGAGGTGGTATCAAAAAAGCACATGCAATTTAACACAATTAAACACGGGTATTTCCCTTGCCATTTCTGGTGTGGCTGTTTATTTAAGAGCAATGATGCTTTTAAAGCACAAATGCTCTGTGCTCCACATAATCAACGGGCTTTTTCTTGAAGGGTGAATGGACGATCGACTCCAGAAAGCAGAAATCCAATCAGTAATTGTTCAACTGTAGCAAAACAGGCCAACAATGACCAGGAAAAGGAATTTTTCGCGGTCACACCTCCCAAGACCAGCCACGTCGACGCCATTAGTTCTGGGAAAGTAAAATCCATTTCCAAGTTGAACTTGTGCCGTTCAGTCTTGCAGGGATAGATTTAAAAGTTGTTTTGGGATCTGCAGATCCCAAAGCAAGATAGAATTGGAGTCAGATATCCCAACAACTTTACACCAAAGGGATTCATTTTGCAATCCAATCTCATTTGTATTTTCACTCGGAAATGAACCCATCTGATTAAATTCAGTGGGAAAACCCAAACTATGTGAGCACAGTTGCCATTTCAAAATGACTTTTTAAAGAATTTTTTTTTAAAGAATTAAAATATATCCAGTCACCGGTACAGCTAGTGTGAACAGCAGGTCTGAATCTTTCTCTGCATCTCCTTTCACGTTATACAAAGACGGTCTTGCTTTATTTATATTTTATTCCATACAAAAACAGCAACAGTAGTAAAAAAAAATTATATTAAGAATGAATAAAAATAACATCCCCAGGCACCCTCCGTTCAGGCTTCCTTAAAAGTTCATACAGCTCCGCAGAAAACTATTTACAAGTTATCGGTTTAAAATTTGGTGAGGTTATGCCACCCGAAAGAGGACGGTTATTTCTCCAAGAGGCCTGCCTATCCTGGGAAAGGGCTATTGCCAATTGTTTGGTAATGCTGAAAGAAATAATTTGAAAAGCACACATTCTCAAGATTGTAAAAATTACACGGGCAGGGTGCAGAACCACCTCTTCCTGCCGATATTTGGGTCATGGTTAAAGGTCACTAACCAAGTGCTAAAACTATTTTCTTACTAAAGTTTCATGTTTTAAAAACTGCTAAACTGTGGCAACATTGCCCGTTCTGGTTTTTCTTAACTATAATTCAATTGCTCAGGAAAGCCATCTGTTTCATATGCAGGTATATAAATTAGGCAGTTACCCAATTACATACGATTCCATTTTTATGCTTTCAAAAAAAGGTCAGAGAAACGGATCTTCGTCTTAAGGCTGCCGCAGCTCCAGAGGGTAACGCAGGGAACATTTCTTATTTCTGTGTGAATCTGCTGGAGTTGCCCCTTCCTCAAAATGGACCCTGCAGGACGCACGATTCTACCGGTGACATAAGCTCCATGCCAGAAGGTGCCTCTAGCTGAATCTAGTCAGCAGATCGATGCTCAATACTTCTCATTTTGGTTGGTGTCTGTACAATTCTCCTAGAATAAAAGGTTACCAAATTTAACATACCAGGAACTTTGTAACATCATTTGTTAATTTTACTTAAGAAATATGCTGTATTTATTGGGCGTTACACCAAAAAGCACAGAATCCTAAGGCTGGAAGGGACTCTGGAGGTCTTCTAGTGTCCAACTCCCAGCCCGTGGTAGGAGCCCTTACACCATCCTGGAGAAATGAAGATTTGACAACATAGTTCTCAATACTCAGAAGCACAGGCAGTCCTCAAGTTAGGACCATTCAAATTGACAATGAAAACCCCCAATGGGACTTACCGCCAGGTTTCAGAGTTCTGACATCCACCCCGCCAAATACACAGTAGTCATATGATCGCATTTTGGGTGCTTAGCAACTGGCTTACATTTATGGCTATTTGAAGCACCATGCGGTCACATGACCATGATTCATGGTTTTGCCAGAAGCCAACTTACCCTGGTTTCCCAGTAAAAACCAACCCATAGCAAACAATGAGTCTATTTTAACAGCCCTGCTGATTGCTTAACAACCAGCGCAGAAAAGGTAAAGGTAAAATCAGGTCTGGTCACAGGGTGACCTGTTTTACGACTGTCCCAACCTACAACCGTAATTGCCAGGCTCAATTGCAGTCATAACTCAAGGACTACCTGTAGTGAATAATGTACCCTCAAGATATCAAGGAGAGAAGCAACTTGGAATTAAACAGAAACTTCCAGACAGTGAGAACAATTAACCAGTGGAACCACCTGCCTCCAGAAGCGGTGAATGCTCCAACACTGGAAGTTTTTAAGAAGAGACTGGACAGCCATTTGTCTGAAATGGTCTAGGGTTTCCTGCCTGAGCAGGGGGTTGGACTAGATGACCTCCAAGGTCCCTGCCAACTTTATTATATCACAATTATTCTTGATAAAACTGTACATGACAAACACAATCAGATGCCTGTGCCTGCACACTCAAACCTGATTTTTCTATACACACCACGGACTCATTCGTTATCCTATTAATTCCGGCCTCCATTCGCTCAGGAGTTATAACCTTTTTTCCCCTGATCATTTCCCATCAAAAAACTTGGGGCTTTTTGCTCTACAGCTTTATTCTGGAGTTCAGCGGAAATATTTTAAAATTTGCTATGACAGCCGCAATGACATTCATTAGTCAAGATTATTCCAGTGGTTGAAGGGGGGTCAGTGTAGCACATGCAGTACAGCTTCCACAACAGAGGTCCGCTTGGTTGAGTCCCACTTAATTAAAGCAACGACTGTACTAATGGCAGAAAACATAAAGTGAGGGGAGAAAAAAAAAAAAGACAACGTGCAAGACAATTGGGAAATGAAGCAAAAAGAGAGAAAATTAAATTAGGATGAGGAAAGAGGCAGATAGTAGAGGGAAAGAGAGAGAGAGTGAAAAAACTACTTCGGAATGGCCAGGGATAGGCTGCTAGCAACTAGCAATCTATGGACGCTGACGCAATATTGAAACTTAAGCCAAGGTTCAAATTACTTACATTGTTTTCTTGGGAACTTCCCTGTAGCACCAAGGAATTACTTCCTACGGATTCTGTTTCCATGTCACCAAGATCAACAGGGCTACTGCAAAAACAAAACATGAAATTAGCAATATCAGAAAACATGTTTCTAATGTTAAGATAAAAGAGAGAATACTTAGTTTAAACCATTTAGCCTCTCTTTAGACACAAAACCTGCCTTCTGGTTTACCCAATGACCTAAATATTTGCAGGAAACGTTAGGCAAATAGGAATTGAAGGTATAAATCACACGTATTTTCCAATGATTTCTAGCATTACATTTAAATAATTCAGAAAAGTATTCCAGCAACTTGTTTAATTGATGAGGCTTATATATTTTTATTAATGTAAAGATCCAATGGTATTTAGACAAATAGATAGCAGTATAAACAAACCCTTCAGAAAAATGATTCTGTTTTAAAATAAATGCATGTGTTCTATTGCACCAACTATGTTCTGGAGTTGGCACACAATTCTGATAACCTGCTAGTACACCATACATGTTAAATTGTTTATTAACAAGTAAAGAAAAATATAAGCAACAAGTAATTCGCCACAAGGAAAAGTAATCATTATATCAATATGCTTAGCATTATAGCTGGATATATTTTGCAGAAAACTACATGCAGTTCTCACTTAACCACAATTGAGACTAACAGCAATCTTGCTAAGCAATGTGGCCATTAAGCAAAGCACAAGGACCGCAATGGACTTAACGCCTCGTCTCCAATGTGGCTGTTAAACAAATCACCTGCTGTCATTAAGTGAGAAATCACGTGACCACGAATTGCCTGTTCACTGCCAGTTTCTCCATTGACTCTGCTTATCAAAGTGTACAAACAGCAGTCACGTGACCTTGTGATGCTGCAACAATCCTAAATGTGCCCAAAGGGCCCAGATCACATACCCAGGGGGACAAAATGGGTCATAAAATTACTTTTTCAGCACTGTTGCAACTTTGAATGATTGGCAAACCAGACAGTCATTAAGTGAGGCCTACCTGTACTACGGCTGTCGAATTCAACTCAATTCCACAATAATGAATTATACAGCCTTTAAGCTTAAACTTCGCTTCGCAAGAAACAAACCTGGTTCATTTCAGGGATTTACTACCGCTGAATGATTCCCGAAGTAAAACAACCCTCAATATTTAAATGCTTACTGTTTTATGCATTCTTGGACACGGCTGCTACTTACAGTACTTGCGCATCAGAGCCTTCTTCGTGAGGAGGGTCCCAAAAATGCAACGCGACTTTCCAAAGTCTGATCTGTTGATCCCAAGATCTCCGACTGTACTTTTTAAATTTATTTGGAGTCCTTGGATGGACCCCAGGAACCCGTAGACACCTTTGAAAGAAACATTTCAGCTACTTTTAGCACACCCATCAACCTTCGGCAACTTAGCAGAGCAGCCATTTTGCGATAAATACGTCGTCCAGGGAAATAAAACCGGCTGTCTACTTGCAAGATTGCTCAGGAATAGGGCTGCTCATCTTCCAACGACTCTATGCTACCCTCTCTCCCAGCAATGGGCGTCTGTGGTTTCTGTTTGTTTTATTTATTTACATAGAGGAATAATTGAGTGCAAATTCTGACATCAGAAAGGGACGTTTAACCTCTCAGAATATTCTGCCACAGCCTTCAATGTAGCCATTAGCAAAAACAGAAATCAGAAATTATAGGAGCAACTTACTACAAGTGGGTGAGCCAGAAATCAGTATGACATCATGGCTAAACTTTCCAGGGGATGTTTTTCTGATCTCTCACTTTATCATTTTGCCTTTTGCTCCCCCCATCAAAAGCAAGGAGGTGTTTCTTTCTTAGAAGTATAATTTTTGCATCTGATCCATGATGCTGGCTCATCTATGCTATAAAGCAGGGGTGTCAAAACGGCCGGCCTGTGGGCCGGTTGTATCGTACGGGGACTGCGCCCACCCCAGCTCTGGAAATGCAAAAGTCACGATACGTTGCAAGACACCACGTGATGAGTTTGACACCTATACTATAAAGGATTCCACTGGTTTATGAGTAAAAAAAAAAGTATAGGTACCTCTTGGGAGGAAAAATTCATTTTCTTTTCCTTAAGTTTGCCCCAATACTTACAAATTAAATTATACTCTGTACTGAAAAAAATCTCCACTCCATGGGTAAAGAGAGATCTTACCTAGGAACTTCTTGAATATATCTGTCATATGCCAGAGTATTCTTCCCATAATTTATTTGTTTTTGTCTCCTCATTAGAACAGCCTCGTCAGTCTCCAGCTCCACGACTGCTGTAGATTCCTTGGAATCCGAACTGGAAAAAATAGCGATTTTATTTTTCATTTATTCCCGTTTCATGGCTTTGCATTCTCAAGACACAAGGCGTGCTTTTAGTGCTAGTCTGCCCTTATCATGGGAAACGCCTCGCTTTTTCATTTCCCTAAAACCGTCTCACTTTTAATAGAGCCATGCTTTAATTATTCATTCTCATCAGCCTCCAATTCACAGATCGTCCCTGGTTAGATTTGCTATGAACAATTTTTTTTTTTACCTTCCAGTAGAGGTCTTCCTTTCTCTTCCAAATTCATTTATTAGAAGCTTTCTTTTGTATCTGTAAAACATTTGTTTTAAGGAAAGTTATTTCCAGTGTTTGTACTGCTACAATGGTGTTCTGCTACACCATTGTTGGTATTTTATTATTTAATAAATTCAACACTGAACAATATTCCCACATGTTAAGATTTGTTACATTAGTTAACCCTCTTAGCCACATTCTCCTGACCTACTGGATTTATCCACAAGAAGTAGCTTTTTTATAGCACATTCTCCAACTTAGTCTTACAACATAAAATTGTTTTCAATTTTGAATGCAAAAGTGTGCATCGTATGAAAAGGGCTAATAACTTCCCTACCTTACTAGATCTCCCTATCTCAAAGAATAAAGATTTATTTTTGTACTTAAAGACAAATTGAATTTAAACAAATTGCACATCAGTACCTTGCCATTTCTCTGTTGACGTTAGTCCTCATCTCATCTTCTTCAACTGCACTCCCCCAGTCTGAACATCTCGAACGGGGCTTGTGGCCCTCCGGGGTGGTGAAACTGTAAAAACCAAGTCACAGGAAAAACAAAACGGCACCTTAGTCACAATATTTAAAATACACAATCTAGCGTGCCCCATCTCAACTGTGTTGCAGGTTAAATTACACCAGGGGTTCTCAACCTTGGCAACTTTAAGACTTGTGGACTTCAACTCCCAGAATTCCTCAGCTAGCTTTGGGAATTGAAGTCCACAAGTCTTAAAGTTGCCAAGGTTGAGAACCCCTGAATTACACAATCCACAATGTATCGCTGAACCCTCGTGTATCGCGTGGTGCTTTTAAGTTGCTCTCTGCAGAACAATGTTTATTACCATCTGCTCGTGATACGAGTATGCTACTTAAAAATATTAAGTAGATTGCTAAAATATCACCAGGAACTAAACATTTTATGTCCCCCACGGCCTCAAATAGAACTTAACCGTGCTTAATAGTGAGGAAATATTTCTCTGCGCCTACCTCTCGGATCTGCCATCGGCCAGACTGTACGTATCGTAATCGATGGTTGGGCCGCTCGGTTCATGCGTGTTTCTGTGCTTCCCATCTGCATCACGCTTCCTGCCTTGACTCCACGAAGCTGTCGGTCTGGGAAGAGGCAATGAAAAAGAACAAAGTCAGTGAAAAGCAGTTACAAACCATTGTTCTAACTGAAACTTCCTTCGGAAGCAAAGTTTCAGAAAAAGCCTGGGTCAAGCTGGCCTGGGGATTGTCCATTTTTTATTTATTTATTACATTTATTACATTTATACCCCACCCTTCTCCTAGTGGACTCAGGGCGGCTGAGTCCACTAGGAACAATTTTGAATTGTTCCTAGCTCTTGAGTGAGGTATAAAGGGGTGGGGGGTGGGAGGAAGAGCTCCATCCTGCTACAGCTACAGTCCCCGACTTAAAAAACTGCAAATTGGGGACAATTTCGGTCGCTAAGCGAGACGGTTTTCAAGCGAGTCATCCCGCGTTCGTCTCCGATTCTGCCACCGTCGCGAAGCGAATCGCGTGATCATTGCGTGAATCCAGCTTTCCCCACCGACTCTCTTTCAGTGCAGTTTGTTAACTTCAAACCGTCGCTAAACGAGTGGCCTTAAGTCGGGGACCTCCCTGCAATCCAGTCCTCTGGAAAGGGGAAGAAGAAAAGCCACTTTGGCTGTCCAATGGGAGGCAGCAGAGGTTGCGCAATCAGCACTTCCTCCTCCCACCCGGAAGGAGGAGGGCTACTTCCTGTCCCTTATAAGCTCTTCCTACTTCCTTATAAAACCCGCGTTTTTGTGAACTACCCAGAGCCAGGCCGCCTTAAGAAACAAGTAAAAAAAAAAATCAACTTTACAAGCTTTTCTTCCCAAAGAACTGCCTGAGCTCTGCCTTTTTTTTCCCTTCCCCCCCCCCTCAGCCTCTGCCTGCATCTTTTTTTTAACCTCGTCTGATAGGTCCACATTTGCCCAGGTTTCTGTGTATACACGTGTCTGCGGGTACACACACACACACACACACACACCCCAAAACACCCAGGGCTTCTAGGTGAATTTAAAGCAGGCGGGGGCATCCAGGGGTCCGCAAGGCCCGGGGACGCCCCCTCATCCCAGACCCCAACGAACAATCACCCTGTGAGGAAGGGGCGACCCCCCTCCCCCATTACCCAGGGGATCGAGGTGGGGGAGGGGCTCGGCCAGGCCGCCCCCCGCCACTCCCGGGCTGAGCTGAGGCGTCTTATTTGGGCCACAAAGGCCTCCGCGGCTCCGCAGCCGGACGGGCGGCGGCCTAGAGCCCCTCCGAGGCAGCCCGGCCGTCGACGGCTCCACTACCTGCTACGAGTCCGGCCGGCCAGGGGGCTCCGCTGGCGAAACGACATCCTGAGGGCGACGCGGCTCCGACGATGCTTCCCCGCCGCCGCCGACCTCGCAACTGAGGCGCGTCAGGGCTGAGGCGCCGCGCGCGCCAACCGAAGCGGGCGCTACCACCTCGAAGGAAGGGGGGGGTTCCTAGAGAGGAGGCTTTTTTCTCACCACCTTTCCCTTTCACAGCGCTGAGACGAAACACCCAGCCGCCGCTCGCAGATGAATTATTCTGCGTTCCCAAGTTCCCGCCCTGAGGTAGGAAGGGCCGCGGGGCGGCTTTACGCGCCTATTTTCAGAACGAGACTCCCCCACGGGCAGCTGGGCGATGGTTTGCTCCGGAGCGCGGAGCTCCGCCCCCTCTTCCTCCCGCCCCCTTTGCCTGTTTGGGCAAACGACGCCTTCGCGCTTTGGCGGGAAAATTTGCAGCCGGGACGGGCCGCTGCAACAAAATGTTGCAGCGCTGAGCGCTTTTTCCTTGGCGGCGTTGCGAGAGCCCGGCGGCCCCGCTGGCTTTCTTTCCTCAGCTGAAGCTGCTTCCCAGCGAGGGGTTGATTGCTCGTTTCTTATTGAGCAATTTCGCCATTATTATTATTATTTTGTTTCCTAAAGCCTTTTGGGAAGGGATTATTTCTGCACATTTGGGAATTCGGCCCTGTTGCTAATATTTAGTGCTTGCAAGAAGACAGGGCTAACTCTAAGGGCAGGCAGAATAATTGCATGCTAGGCCCTGGAAGGCTGTCCCAAAGGTGCTTTTTTCAGGAGGCAACTGGACTTTCTTGGTTTTCTTTGAAGACGTTTTGCTTCTCATCCAAGAAGCTTCTTCAGCTCTGACTGGCTGCTGGGGAAGAGAAGGACTTTTTATTCTTCTTCTTCTTGTGCCATGTCCGTTGTCGGACGTTGGCGATCCTGTTTTTATCAGCAGCCGAATGAAAAAGTGCTGCTGAGTTTTGTCCAAACCGGTCCCTGAGATTTTGAAGCCACGAGGTTCTTCTTCTGCCTGGACCTCGTTGGCCTTCCATCTTTCCCTGGAGGATGAAATGGAGTAGGCCATATTTTTCTGGGTGTCGCATCACGTGTCCGAAATATTCTAATTTTTGTTTTTTAATTGTTTTGATGATTTCCCTTGGCTTTCCCAGGCGGTTTATCACCCCCTCATTTCTGATCTTGTCAACTCAGCTTATACGTAACAGCCGCCTGTCAATCCCCATTTCGAAGGATTTATACTCCTTGCAAATAGCTGGTCATTTGCATTCTTTTGGGAGAGTCGTTGAGGCCACCTGGAGGTTTATCTGTCCTTTCTCTAAAAGAATGCAAATTATTATTATTATTATTTAGATTTGTATACCGCCCTATCTCCCTTGCGGAACTGACCAGCTGTCTGCAAAGAATATAAATCCTTCCATTCCCCACTATCCAGTCAGAGTGGAAGAAGCTTCTTGGATGAGAAGCGAAACAACTTCAAAGAAAAACAAGAAAGTCCAGTTGCCTCTTGAAAAAAGCACCTTTGGGAAGACTGAGAATCTCCATAGACATTTAGCTATGCACTTTGGGATGAAACCCCCTTCAAATGGTGCCGGAGTATGAACGGATTTCCAGGAAACATTGCAGACTACGGGAACCATTTGTGCTTCAGTTTGAGATGCAGACAGCACAGATTCATCCCCAACAGTTGGTGCCTGTCTTGGACAGTGAAGGGAGGCAGGGCAGAAAACATCCTGCAGCTAAGGAGGCTCCACCCATTTGCACTACTCAGGTGACCCTGAGGACACAGGTAAACCTCCAAGTGGCCTCAAGGACTCTCTAAAACAGGCATGTCAACCTCGCAATATGTGATGTCGTGCGATGTATCGTGACTTTTTCCCCATTGCTGGCAATGGGGTGGGCACGGTTTCAGCATGACACATCTGGCCTGCAGGCCAGCAGTTTGACATACCTGCTCTAAAAAGAAGGCAAAAGACCAAGCTGTCTGCAAGGAGTATAAATCCTCTCCCCCACCATCCAGTCAGAGCTGAGGAAGCTTCTTGGATGAGAAGTGAAATGTCTTCAAAGAAAAACAAGAAAGTCCAGGCTTCTTGTTAAGGGATATACATAGATAGAATAAAAAAAAAAGCATTGGCAGGAATTCCGAAAGTCATTCTGGTTTTTAAAATCGTCTTGCTTTATTGGATCAGTGCTTCCCCTGCCTTTGGTTAGGAACAGAAATCTGGCACATAAATTGTGTAGTCATCCTCTGACCTTGTGTAGCCGTTCCTAGACACATTGCCAAAATAAGAGCCACTTGCTTGCATGTGAATTAAAAGTTGTGTTTTTCTGCTACACTGCAGAACATTCCACAAAATTACAGGGTGAGATTCTCCCAAAGGAGTTTTTTCAAAAGGCAACTGGACTTTTTTTTTTTTTTTGCTGAAGACGTTTTGGAAAAACCAAGAAAGTCCAGTTGCCTTTTAAAAAAGCACCTTTGGGACAACCATGGCCTGGATGACGGAGAATCTCCATAAAGATTCAGGCTGAGGTTCATCTATTATCCTAGTGTAAATCCTATACACTATGGTAAAGTACTATCACATACTGTTTTATTGTGTCTAACTAACACTATTATTGTTTTATTGTGCCATGATGTGATGTAAGCTACTAGAGCTTAATAATACAAATTACTATACCTTGAAAGATTATAAATCACTGAATATCACAGCCCTCATTTCTTCATTTTCAAAAGAATTTTTTTGCATTTTTTATTTCGACGTTTACAATTATAGAACTTGATTAAATGTTGGAGAGTTATTACTCCTCAAAGTTTTGTTCTGGCTTTAAAAAAAACGCCCTGCATTAATTTGCCTGCTTACATCGATTTATTTGTCCATTAAAAATTTTTTATTTTTATTTATTTATTTATTTATTTTTACTTACTACTTTTATAAAACTTTTCAATAAAAAAGAGTAAGTAAAAAAAAGTCTATTAAATTTTTTTTTAATTTATTTTTTATTTTTCCAAACTCTCCCCCATACATATACCGTGATATTTATCAGATATTAACATACATTCTTTTTACATTCTTATATATAAGATACTTTTAATGAAATAAATACATGCACATGACTTTTGGTGTTGCTCGCCCATTTCCCCTTTCACTGCATCCCCACTCCTTCTTCTCTACCTTCTNCTTCTCCCCTCCTTTACTCTTTTCTCTCTCCTCTCCTTTCTCCCTTCCTTCTCTTTCTTCCCTACTTCCCTCTTCTTCCTCTCCTCTCCTCTTCTCTTTCACCACTCTCTCCTCCAACCTTCCTACTTCTCCCCTCCTTTACTCTTTTCTCTCTCCTCTCCTTTCTTCCCTCTCATCCCTCTTCAGATACAATTCAGGGGTAATGTCCGAGCATTTTTAATGTCCATTAAAAATTTTAAGCCCACCCATCTGTTAGAAGTAAGTCTTCATCCTGGTTCATCCAAGCCGGGAATAAATAAGCAAACATGGCGACTGCTTTGGGAAGAAGGTTACAGTTTATTACAGAAGACAGATGGTCCTTGCAAGAAGCAGCAGAGGAGAAGAAAAAGAGTGAGCACATGGGCAGAAGGTCTTTTTATACCCTCTAGCCCTGCCTGGAAGTTTCCTGTTCCTGTGGCATGAACTTTGAGGCTATTTCTGAGTGTTTTTCTAGGCCTTGATATCTGTGGTTTAATCCCATTATCATATCGTGCTTCCCAGGTGATGGGGCTAATGACTCTTAAGAGCTTGGGTGGGGTATGCAGATTTTCTCTTTGTCTTCTTGATTGCTCTGGCTTCAACTTTCTGATGGTTCCACATCTGCATTTGTATAAGACTAGCTACTGCTTTGGGCAAAGAGAGGAGGCCAGGTTTGGTTTCTGCTTTTCCAAAAAATGCTTTTAAAAATCCTTTTGGTGAACAATATCTTTCTTTCTGCCTTTTTAATATTTCCTTCTCTGGGCTAACTTCCCACCCATCTCCCCTGCATGGCGAGAGGCATTCGAGTTATACCATAATAAATAAAAAACAATGACTAAGCCAGAGTTTTAACCTCTGACCCGGAAAAGCGCGCAAAACGCAGGAAGGGGAAAACATCAAAGCAGCTGTTCCATTATTACTCGCTGCTTCCGGCAGACCACGCCTCCCTGGCAAGCTCCTCCCTCCTCCGGGAGTTTTTCCGCGGGCGTGTCGGTTAGCGCATGCGCGGGCGCCCGAGCGGCTCCGCCCCGGTGACTCGTCCGTGACGTCAGTCGCTTCCAGGCTCGCCATTGGCGGAGAAGCGGCGTCGTTCAAATTTCAAACGGGAGCGGCCGTTGAGGCGGCCGGGTCGGGCAGCGGCGTTCGGACGGCGGTGAGGGAGCTTCGCTGACTCGCGTCTCCGGGCCTTCCCACGGTTTTTTCCCCCTCCTCGGGTGGGATTCCGGGTCCGCGTCCTCGTCCCCGGCTGAGTGTTGAGGGGGAAGGGGCTCCGAGCCCGGTTCCTGAGGTGAGTTTGCGGCGCGGCGTCTCGTGTGAACGGCGGAAACGGGGCTCGCGGGTCAAGCGGGGTCGCGTGAAGGCAGCCCTTGAGCCCCGGCTGTCCGTCCCGCGTCCGTTCCGCCGGCTCCTAGCAAACGGGGGGGGTGTTCCCTCGGGAAGGCTGCGGGTCGTGGGAATCCTCCTGGCGTGAACAGACTCGGACGTCGTGAACAGGGCCGCCAGGAGCGTTGGCAGCTCTTTAAAGGAGGAGGCCGCCGCCTCCTGCCCGAGAAAACTCTGCACATGCTTTATAAATACCGTCCTCCTTGTGAGATGTAAAAAACCCCCAAATTTGATACTCGCAATACGAAGACAAGTCTGGTTAACAAAAACCAAGTTTTATTGGAGAGAACATAAAAGAAAATATAAAGTTAGTCCAATTCCAATTTAACCAAATTCCATTCAGATGGAAACAAATTTCCATTAAATTTACATTAAATATAAACATTTACAAATCTAAGCAAAACAATTCAGAGTCATTTCTTTTGGTTCATAGGTGTAACTCTTAGTAATTAAACAATTTAAACTCAAACATTTCTAAAA